ATCCCTAAGATCCCCAATCCTTCGGGGTTAGGGGATTTCCGCCCTATCTCATGCTGTAATGTGTTGTATAAGTGCATTACGAAGCTTTTAGCTAATCGGTTGAAAGTCTGGCTCCCCAGGTTTATTAGTCAAAATCAGTATGCTTTCGTGCCCGGACGTCGTATTGTGGATAATATTTTGCTTTGTCAGGAGCTTGTTGGGGGGTATCATCTTAATAAGTGAAGGGATGTGAATCCCGGAGCGGAAATGGATTTTCGTTGCTGATTTTCGGGATACAAAATCGTGTTTTAAAGAAGAAAAAATACAGGGGAAACCATAACCTTTGAAGAACGTTTCTTCAACTTTTCCCAACGAACACCACCAAAATATCTTCCTTGCTATCCTCTTGGGTTTCGAGAACCTTGCTTGTGGGAGCACCTTGTTTGGAATAAGAGGGAGAGTTTGAGAGAGTGAGCTTGTGAGAGAAATTGGCAGTCACTATTTCCTCTTTTGTTTTGCAGAACTGCAAAGGAAGAAGAACAAAAAACAATGACGTGGGGAGTTACCCCACGTCACTTAACTGCCCACTACCCTGCAATTTTGCAAGGGAGTTAAATATTAATTTATATATTAATTAATAATAATAATTAATATAATAATTAATATTATATATATTAATTTATTAATTAATCATATTAATTAATAAATATAATTAATTATTAATTCAATTAATAATTAATTCAATTAATAATTAATTAATAAATATAATTAATTATTAATTCAATTAATAATTAATTAATAAATATATATATAATCAAATAAATAATTAACACTTAATTATTTATTATAAAATTAGAATCATATTCTAAAACATTTCTCTCGTATAACCTATAGTTTTAATGTACATCTTATGCACATTATTTTTAACCTATAGTTTTAATATGAATCTCATTCATATTAATTTTATTTGAATCTCATTCAAATAATATCTCTCATAATATATRGTTTTAATTTACAATTATAATGTATCAATATACATATAATCCCTTAAGTAATTTGAAAAATTCAAATTCTTTAAAAAATTTGATCCTCGTTTTACCCGTTATGAGCTAGCAAGGGGACCTAATGGACCTACAGATCCGAAGCTCCAACGATGCAAGATTAATCGGTCAAACTCATTGACCGAGTTAATCTAGATTCGTTAACTACGGGTCGTTCCACTAAAGACCCACAGTTGCACTCTTCTCACTGCAGAATGTTTTCGTGTCCATAGATATATGTCCATTAATGACGAGTCAATCCTTCACGAGTGTTCGTAACTCAAGTTGGGTCAAATTACCGTTTTACCCCTGAGTTACATCTTACTTCTTAAACACCACTGCTCCTCTAATGAACAACCCGGTTATGGTCCAACCAATAACCGGAAGTCCCTCTCGGCCAATGAGAGGGTGGGGCCCCTTGTTCAAGTCCCGGAGTCAGCATTTAAGGGAACACTCATCTACTCCCCTAAAGTCGGGGAGGAGTGAATTCCATCTTGTGAAGTTATGTTCCCAGCACCCCACTCGGTCTCGTCCCCAAAATGGTAGGAATGTTGAGTCGGCGACTCGGGCCACTCTCACCCATAAAGATCAAAGGACGAGCCCTCACGGGCAGGAGTCCATAACTCACTCAGGATTGAGAATGAGTTGCCTGGTCATCCTAAGAAATAGCAACCTATTAGTTAACGGTGTTACATCTAAAGATTGCCTATTTCGTGGTCCGATCTTATACAAACTCATTGTACAAGATACCCCCACTCGCATGTCTCCACACGAACGACCTGGATCGAGTCGTCTGTAACCTTTACAGAGTGGGCCGTATCCATAGTGTTGCCAGGATAAGGTACCTAGCCTTATCCATATACTATAGACCCTTTGGGTTATTCACGGGACATTATCCATTCATATATCAGGGGTATGTCAAATATATACCCCGTATATCAACTATATACCCAGTATATATACTGTCCCGATTACATCATAAATAACCTTGGATGTTTAGTTTATTGGAGTTTGGACAATGCAAAGGTATGATTCAACAACAAATTTATTGAATAAAACTTTATTAAATAGACATTTGTTTTTACAAAATACAAACTACGAG